GGGAGAAAGTCTCTGTTCAAATTACCCTTATTTTCTAATGTATAGCAGGAGAATACAGGTATTAAAACAGTCATAATCATTTTGTGGCACATTGTTTAATCCAGATTGGATACATCAGGTACAGCAGTGGCACATGACTCAATACTGCAAATGATATACATTTTAACATATGCACTACAGTTTCAAAAGAAGACAACAGGAAACTCAAGAGTTGGTTTGTTTGTTTTTTTGTTTCCATAGAAAGATTTCACATGTTTATCTTTCTGCAGTTTTGTATAGTATTTCTTCTTTGCCATTGTGATGTTGGTAAGCAAAGCCCATTTATTATATGAAAATAGAAAAGAACACACTTGATGTTTTTCACGATAACATTAATGGGGGAGGGTGACCTCTAAGGAAAACATTACACTGGAATGTCTGATTATCAAAAATATACCATCCCTCCCACCACCCAGGTTTGTAAAATAGTCTGTTGGCCCAAGGAGCCCCCCAGGACTTGGGTCAGTGCCCTACACTGGTTAGTATGACATCAGCCAGTGTAGTTGAGAAACCTGCTAAGAGAAATTCATTCCCACACTTGATGAGAAAAACATAGAACATTCTGAATTGAAAACAGGACTCAAAAGGAACCCCTTTAAAGCTGTTTCTTTTTCTGATCCACTTTCTCTTAGTTCTAATGATGCTCATCATGATGCTGTTTGGGCTCCAAGGGTGACAGGTCATAACATTTTTCCTTCACTCATTTTAAAGCTTTGCTGAGATTTCATAAGAAAATCAGAATGGGAAAATAGTCTTTTGGGTTCCTCTTATGGTTACCATGCCAACTAGATGAGAAGGGAAACTAATATTGCCTTAGATTAACAGCGTTAGGATGTTTATGCCTTATAGTTCCCTGGTAATTGAAGTGAGGGAGCCTGGATCACTAGAATTCATTAATAGCCTAAACATCTAGGTTTAGATCAATTTTAAAAAGTGACATGATCCTGAACTGCAGGAATCATCGTTTGAAAACTGGGTCAGGTCCTCAAGCATATCCATGAATTGATGCTTGTTAATTGTGAATCATCATTAACTGGCCATTTTAATTTCTGTTCAAATTTTTTATTTTTCTTACTTTCACTTTTCTACTTGCTGACTTTATCCTCTTGTATGATTGTAGACTCCTGTGTTCAACTATCATTGAGAATATCTAGTCTTCTGAACAGGATTCTATGCAATTAGTCTTGAGCTTGACACTGGTAGTGAAAGGAAGGGATGAAGGAGGAATAGTACAGAGTGTGCTTCTGGAGGTCCTGGCTCAGGATGGTTCTGAAAATCCAAGTATTAAAAATATAAGCAAGCCTGAGATGATGTCAAGGGAAAAACCCCAGGGCAAGATGTCTAAGCTCTGGATTGCAATCTTAGTTCTGCCACTACCTTGCCATGTGAATTTGAATGTCACTCAGCTTCTTTCTGCCTGTTTTCCCCTCTGTGAATTAAAGATTTAGTTCTTGACCTACTACCACCAGAGGTTGTAGAAAGGATTAAAGACTACATAAAGTATACTTTAAAATGTCATAGCCCTCTCTTCATTGAGGGCATTGGAAAGACAGAATTGGACTGAAAAAACCTGACTGTACACTTCCTCACCTGCTTTTGACAGAACTGACAGTCCTTAGCTGATTCTGTCTAGTGAATGGTGGTTTCCAAGGTATGTTTTATACTGGTACAGTCAGGGCTTGTGTCCAAGTAATAATTGGCATTCACACATGACTATGTCTCTAGTTATAGCAAGTAAACTCTGATGGGTCTTCTCTGAGCATCGTTGCTGAGAGGCAATGCGTGTAATGGAAAAAGCATTAGACTAATATTCAAGGGATTTGGGTTCTGATCCCAGCCCTTTCATTAAATGACCTCATGACCTTGAGCAGGTCACAGCATCAGCCTATACTGTAAAATGACTTAGATAGTCTCTAATTTCTTCTAGTTTTATATACTCTTAATTCCATGTTTTCTAAGTTTCCATTCATTTGAATGTAGCCTACTGGTTTGTTTTTAACCTTCCCTAATGTTAAATAGGATTGAATGGGTAGTTTTGTGACTCTTCTGTTATGCTGAAGTGGTTCATGAAAGAACTATGAAAGCTCAAGTCATTTCCCCAGAAAGCCATTGTCCCCTGGAAACCCTGATAATATCCCATTTCTTCAGTCACTGGCCATTGAATTAGACATTAAACTGACGTGGCACATTTGGCCTTTTTGTTTACTTACAAATATCCTTTAGCAGTAGTGGCCCTTCTGGCTGTATTCCGTTTTCTTGAGTGAAGTGGATTTCTCATCTTTGGCTAAGGCTACTGAGGGATGGAGCTGAAGGGTCTAGTGGTCATCTAGGACCTGGTATAATGTGAGATTTGGAAATGAAATTTAAGGGATACAAAACATTCAGTTCATTAGGGTCAAAAAACAACAGGAAATTATTTGGGATATGATTTTTTAAATTTCTTCATTAATTTTTATGGGAACCACTAATATGCTCCCCCAGTACACTACCAAACAGGTCCCAGGTTGGAGCAGTCATTATTCTAACCTTGTGATGATCTGTTCTTAAACACAGTTCATTTGTATGTATATGTAACCATGCTCCTATTTACCTCTTTATCCTTTACCGCATTCAGTTCTCATGATACATACTTAGAAACTTTAGACCTTCCTAACTTTGTTCCATTATCCATTCTTTCAAGAGAAAAGTTCCTTTTCTAGTCCTTGGCCTGCCATTTAAATGGAGCCCAGCCCAGTCCTCTGCCTTTCCTGATGAGACATATGTAGGCCATGAATGGGTTGAAGTACTTATTCCCAAGTGTGTTTAGGTTGTTGTGTGTGTGTGTATACACACGAATTCCTCTGTAGTTGTAAAGCTTTTCTGCCTACTTCTATCATGAGCTCAGAGGGCCAGAACCACCCCCATTCTCAGGTCAGGGGGAAATCCTTGAGGTCAGACCCAGAGAAAGGACCCAGTCAGTGACCAATGAGGACAGCATAAAGTAGAAGCCTCCCTCTCCTCTGCCCTTCTGCTCACCTTCTGGTTAGGTGCCACCTCACAACCCTTTGACTTTCTCCTTCTGCAGGGTCAGTAGAGCTGGGGTCATAGGGAAGCCAATGAAGGTAATTTTTAGGTTCCTGGCTAGTGAAACTCATCTGGATGCCTCTGGTGGGCAGAAAATTTCTCGGTCTATGATTAAACAGCTAATCACTAAGTTGTTGAATGGATAAAGAGTTCCTGAGGAACTCCTGTAACTCAGAAACCAGGTTAGAGAGACTGCAATAGGCTAGCTAGAGGTTGGGAAGGGTGGTAAGAGCTTTGTCACTAACCCCAAGGCCCATCTGCTCTGCTAAAAGGAGTGAAAATTGATTGGATTCCAGAAATAGTGTTCCCAGCCCCACCCGGCTACAAACCACTTGCACAGAAGTGTGTCTAGGTTCTCCGGAAATAATTACTTCCTCACTTTCAGGGAGGTGATCAGGCTTCTCCCCCATTTCAGTTATCTTCAGGGACAGCTGGCCTGAAGACTCTTCAGACCCCAAGGCACCATTCAGACCAGGTAAGAATCATCTATGATCTCTTACTTGCTTTCACTCTGGAGAATCCTTCATGAGGCACACAGGCTTAACCTTCTGCAGCCTCCGTGGGAGTTGCCTCAGGTATAAGATAAGTTAGAGCTTGGTCCCCATACCACTGCCTTCTCGGCGCTTAACTGCTCATGGAGCCTTTTGGCAGAGCTCTGGATGGGCTTTATGGTGGGTCCTGAAAGAAGGGTACAGAGCAAGGTGTCACAGGGGCCGGCTGCCGCTGGGAGCCCTGGGTTCTTCTGTTCTCTCTCCACTGGCACAAGCTGGAATTTTCTGTGCCTCTCCGGTGCTGGCTGTTTCCTTTTTCAAGATCCCAATGTGATAAATCTGGTCATTTCCTTTCTTCCCCAGAAATGCAGACTTCAAATACCAGTGGTTCCAGCCACAAGGGAAGCACTCTGCTCTTTAAGGTAGATGTCCCTCATCCCTAAATGCCCATTTTTGCTCTGTTCTGTTTTCCTCCACCACTGCATTCACATAAATAGAACTCCCGGGCATGAGTCTGTAGGTGCTTGGCAGTGGTGAAGGCCTTCTTTAACATGTCTCAGAATCACTGGGGTCCATGTCAAGACAGATGGCTAGACACAGAGAAGAACACCCAGGGGGTGAAGCAGAGAGGTACAGAGACAAAGCAGACGGGGACAGACGGAGGGTGAGTGTTGCTGTGTGGTCACTTGGCTGCTCTGTGCAGGTCAGCTGGGCAGTGGGGCCCAGACTCATTTGACCTCACCTACCTGGGGGAACGGAGAGAGAACTCAGCAGTAACTGACTTCTTAGCCTAAAAGCTTTTGCTATAAAAGGAGAGAGAAAAAAACAAAAACAAAAACCCTCACAAAATGCATTGTTTTGGTTCAAAGGTATTGGGTCCATGGAGAAAAACATTTCACAAAACTCCATTGGTGTTTTTGTTTTCCACCTTTTCCCATGAATAAATATTATCCATTAAGAGCCTTGAAAAAGGCGCTTAAATACACAGTGTTATATTTTCTTCCTGTTTTGCATGTGACAACTCGGCCTCTGTGCTGCTCTTGGTCTTGTATTTTCCTCACTGGGGTCTCCAGAAACATCTGTTATTTGGTCTGAGGCTCCCCCCCTCTGGGCCCTGTCCTGGCTCACAGCCTGTACCCCCACATCCCATCCTTACCCCCACCCGTCCTCCCTTCCTCTGGCCCCAGCGAGATGCAGTAGCTCAGGGCTGCGTCCACGCCAGCAGCAGTGAACCTCACGTGCCCCTTCGCTGCCTCCTTCTCTTCCAGGCACAAGTTTCAGTGCTAGGGGCGCAACGGGGCGGGCAGGAATAGTGGGGAAGGGGGAGGGAGTGGTCCCAGTGGCCACCCACCGACATGCCAGCCCCCTTCACTCCCACTACCTGCACTGGCCCTCTGTCCAGTGGTTTTACAAGGCAGAGACCTTGACAACATTGCTGGCTATGGAAGGAATGTTCGTGTTGGGGCCCGGGCTGGCAGGGGCTGGCCGACTTTCGCCTTCCGGGGTCAGTGCTGGGGGGGTGGGGATGCTGATGATGGCTGTGGTGATCTGGGATGTTTTGCAGTTTGGTCTCAGTCCGTCATCTGCTTTCAAATTAAGGCTGGAACGACTGGGATAAAAAAAAGAGTGAGTTGATGATGGTTCATCTTGCTAGTGTCCCAAAGTTTCTGTGACCCTCTACATGTCTAGCTTATAGTAACTAGGAGGTGGTTTGGGTGTCCCTCCATCTCTGCTTTTGCTATTTGGCTTGTAATTATCCATTCTGATGACTATTCCGCAACTACCCCAAATTGCAAAAGTCATGCGTATTGGGCTTTGGAATTCAGAGTATACATTTTCCCCTCCAGTGTACTATTTTCCTATCATTTGTGACACTTGATTTTACTTCCCCTGAATTCCTTGCAATTCATTGGAGGTAGTGGGAAGGGCCCTAAATATAAGCAGAGTCACTTTGTGATGCAAAATTAGCCTGGGATAAGCCATGTCTAATACAATTGTGAAAATTACTTTCTTGAGAAAACAATCCATTCTCTGCACCAGGTAGCTCATTTTTGGATTTTTGTTTTTATAAATATTTCTCATATCTATCCCGACCCCCAAGTTGGGCCTAAACATGCTGTAGTATCCTCCAAAGCATAGGAGGGACTTTTGGGCTAACTTGAGAGGATGAGAAGGAAGGTGGGGGAGGCCCTTGCATTAGATATGGGGGAGGGAGGGCTGAAGACCCCAGGGTTCTCCTAACGCAGAGATGGCATCACTCTATGAAAGTGAAAGTGAAAGTCGCTCAGTCATGTCCGACTCTGCCACCCCACGGATGATACAGCCCATGGAATTTTCCAGGCCAGAATACTGTAGTGGGTAGCCTTTTCCTTCTCCGGGGGACCTTCCCAACCCAGGGGTCCAACCCAGGTCTCCCGCATTGCAGGCAGATTTTTTATCAGCTAAGCCACAGGGGAAGCCCAGGGAGTGCCCGAAACCCTCATGGAGGATGGATGGGAGCCACCCACCTGGTGGTGAGGGAGGGCTGCTCGCTGCCCTGGATGTGGATCGTGCTGAGCTCTTGCATGCTGCGCAGGCGGGTGGCCGGCAAGTTGGAATTGGGCAGGTGTGTGGTTTTCTTACTACGGCGGGAGCAGCAGGTGGTCGTGAGGCCCGGATGGCTGGACAAGGAAGGGCTCCGCGTGGACGGGTAGTTCTGCATTGAACTCTCCATGCAGTTCTGCTCAAACATCTGCTCATCTATGAACTCGTGGTTCTGTGGGGAGCAGAGGGGGAACAGGTAAGATACAGAGATAGGAAGTGGGGGCGGGGGCGGGAGGAGCCCCAGCACCCTGCCTGGCTCTGTTCTGGCCCTTGAGAGGAGGGTGCCCAGCTGCCTGGAGCACCAAGAAGCGTTCCGGACCTGGGGGTATCCCATAGGCCTCAAAGGAAGGAAGGAAGAGATTCCCATGGGCAGCCCTGGTCATCAGACTGAAGGGCGGAGACTACAGTCATGAAATCACAATGTTTCCTGTACTTCATCTGCGGCTTTGGCTGAAGGGATATAGAGGATATGGAGGGATTTCGTGGCATCCTCAGAGCTAGAAGCAAAGACTTGCCTGACTTTGTAGACTTTGACAGGATCCCCACCGGGGGCAGCAGGCAAGGAGTCCCTGACTATGAGTAGTGGGTGTGCTAGGTTATCTTTTTCTGGCTTTACTGGGTGAGATCCTTATGAATCCTGGGTAAGCATGAGACCCAGGATTTTAAAGGCATTAAATTATTCACAGACTTGGGAGAGCTTTGCTCTTGAAGGCCAATGGGGTCACAGTGTCAAGAGTTATCGTTTCTTTTGATGATTGATTTTTTCCCACCTGGTTATAGGTTGAAGTGAAAGTCACTTAGTCGTGTCTGACTCTGTGACCCCATCGACTGTAGCCTGTCATGTTCCTCTGTCCATGGGATTCTCCAGGCAAGAATACTGGAGTGGGTTGCCATTCCCTTCTCCAGAGGATCTTTCCAACCCAGGGTTTGAACCTGGATCTCCTGCATTGCAGGCAGACTCTTTACTGAGCTGCCAGGGAAGCTGGTTATGGGGTATGGCTCCTTAATACACCTAAAGGCACAGGATTCCCTAGGTCAAGTGTCAGCACGGGGAGGGGATGGTAACAGACTCTCAATGGAGGCCATCAGGATAGGGTGGAGTGTAACACAGGATGACTATAATATGGTTGTTTGGCCAAGGTGACTAAACATCTCTGGCGTGAACAACGTGGCCCAGGCTGCCAGAGTGAGGAGAAAGTCTGAAGAGAAATAGCGTGAGAACAGAGTTCAGAGGGAGAGAAAGAGAGAGAGAGAGGGAGAGAGAGAGAGACCAGCCCCGACAGCCAATACCAGGAGTTCCCGTGGAGTTGGGGGGTGGGGGCATAGACAGACGTGGCACATGGACACTCACAGGATACCAACACTGGTGCCATGTCCCACCACCCCTCCAGGCCCCTGGGGAGGTCAAAGAAGGGAATCAGAAAGGCACAAGAGAACTGGAAGCCTGAGCTGGTACTGGGTGTGATGGCAGAGGTGGGATAAGCCCCGGAAGAATCAACAGCGCATGCAGAGAACCAGACCAGGGGGTAAGAAGAGGAAACTCCACAGACTCAGAGGAATCAGAGAGAGAAACATCAATCAAAGTTTTAAAAAGTTATACCTTGATGGTGGAGGTTCGTACAGATAACAGGGGATCATCCACAAGATAGGACAACCCCTACAGGACAACATGCCAACAGAAAATAAAAACACCATTGATTGTACATTCCAGCATTCCCAAGCTCAGTTCTGACATTCAGTCTCTCAATCCCAGCATTCCACCCTTGCTCCCCGCATTCTTCCTCCTTTGTCCCAGCATTCCACCCTTGGAGTCCAACATTCCTCCCCTAAAACCCAGCATTCCACCTTTTAATCCCATTATCCCCCCACCCCCAATCCGACATTCTTTCCCCCAAATTCAGCATTCCACCCCTTCAATGCCAGCATTCCATCCCTCAATTCCAAGATCTCATTTCTTCAATGCCAACATTCCATCCCTTCAAACCCCATGTTAAATTTCACCCAAATCCTTTCAACTTACACATTTCCCCCAGCGCATGCAACTCGGAAAGGGCAGTTGGGTCCAGGCCTATTTCTTTGGCAAGCTCTGAATCTTTGAGAAGAATTCTAGATATGCACGTACAGTTCTTGACTCTATGAAATATTTAATAAATCCTGGAAACTAGGGTTTTCAGAGTAACTTCCCACCTTGGAAGTCCTCACTGGGTTCAACTGCCATCCAGTGTCTCCCTTTGTCTCATCTAAGAGTCATCTAAAATCTGTTCCCCCCTCATCTGGGAGGCCAGGATATGGAATATTGAGAATTAGAAAGTTCCCTGCTTAGTGTGCTGAGCCCTGACTATAGGCTTTTTGGGGAGGGAGATCCTAGAAAGAAACAGGAAAGTTTCCCTTTGTCCCTCTTTTGTTGTCCAGCCTGACTTTTCCTCCCTCCCCACTCTTTCTAACACTTTTTGCCAAGGGTCCAGGGTTGGCCCCACTGCCCTTCCTTTCAGCCTGTTGGTGAGGCACAAGCATCATTCCACATTCCAGCTGGGGCACCCTAAGCCATGACTCTGTTTTAACAATAAGCCTTTCAGAATCTGAATTCCCTGAGAATTGCAGGGTGGCTAAGATGGGTGGTACTGGTAAAATCCCTGGCTAGAGCAATATATGCACTGCCTCTTTCATTCACTGTCTCCTGTTTCAAGTGGAGTGGAGGGAGCAGAGGGACTCACAAATTCCATCCATCTAGCCCCAGGGTTGGGACAGAAGTTGATGTTCTTCTTTGCGGTCCTGTAGCAATCTGTTATAAATTCAGCCCTACTTTTGAAGAGTGATGCCCATCAGAACTGAGAAGCTGACAGACTCAGCCCTTAGGCCTCAGTAACTAAGAAATGGGCCATGGGGATGGAGATAGAGGGGTTGTGTGGAAAGCCCAGGGGAATGGCCTCCTCTGTGCCACTGCAGGCAGAGCTGGCCTCTGACCCTTGGGGTCTTCCTTCTGAGGGTTGATAGAGACCTCATCGCTACTCTTTTGTTCTAAGGGGACAGACTTTGACTTCTGAAGCTTGGGTCCAGGGTGGGGATGTGGGTAGAGTTCACACTCTGTAAGTTCTGACTGTTGAAAAGGGTCAGGGGTCAGGGATGAGAAAGGAGGTGGCGCTGGGCTGGGACTCACAGTGGTTTTTTCCAGGCAGTGCAGCAGGTGATGATGCTGGCTCTCGATGAGTGAGGTTGCCTTGCCCATGTGCTCCTCTTCTGGGGTGCCCTAGGAAGAAAAGAAGAGAGACTGAGTGAAAAGCTGGTGGCTCTCCTTCTCTCCATCTTCATTTCTCCACAGAAGGGAGGAGGGGCCAGAAAAATCTGGATGAACCAACTTTTAGGGTCACCCTAGAACATGTTAGTGTTTGGCTAGGGGTACCTAAGCTAAAGCTGGCTTAGGGATACAGTGATAACCCTATGGAAGAGGAATGTAGAGAGGGCTGCTACTGGGGGGAAAGTCTGGGGCTTTGGGGCAGAAGTGCTGGTGCCCCCAGGAGGAGAAACCAAGTTCGTCCTCCCTTCCACCTCCCGGCCCCAGGTCCTCGGGGCACCTACCATCAGCTCCAGCGCTTCATTGAGGAGTCCGTTGCGCTTGCTGTGCAGGTAGGCGTTGGAGCTGCCAGTTTTGGCCACACGGATCCTGGCAAGGCGGGCCTTCTGTGATTGACAGAGATGATCAAAGAGTGAGGGGGACTATTACTCATCAAAGTCCTCCCTCCTTCCCCCAAATTTCATGAGCTTTATCCACTCAGTATTGCATCAGGGTATTTCTCATCTCCAGACTGCAGGCTCTTGCAAGGAGCACATGTTAGAGCTCCCTGATCCTCTCCTAGGGTCCAGTGCTTCTCCCTGCATTCAGCAGGTGCCCAAATACCAGTTAATTAGGAGAAAATCAGGGAGTGTGTACATGTGGCCCTCAGCTCCTCCCCATCTTTCTATTTTTTCCTTAGCATTCATTACTAAGGTAGTATATGTTTTATATAGTTATCTTGTTACTGTCTCTCTCCCCCACCAGAATGTAAAGCTCCTCAAGGTCTGGCTATACATGTGGAATCTAGAAAAATGGTACAAATAAACCTATTTGCAAAGCAGAAATAAAGACACAGATGTAGAGAACAAACGTATGGACCTCAAGCAGGGAAACAAGGGGGTGGGATCAACTGGGAGATTTAGGAGTGACCTGTGTACACTGCTACGCCTGGAATAGATAGCTAGTAAGAGCTTCCCAGATGGTGCTAGTAGGGAAGAACTGGACTCCCAATACAGGCAACATAGAGGGTTCCATCCCTGGGCAGGGGAGAGCCCCTGGAGGAGGGCGTGGCAGCCCACTCCAGTATTCTTGCCTGGAGAATCCCATGGACAGAGGAGCCTGGTGGGCTACAGTCCATGGGGTCACAGAGTCAGACACGACTGAAGCGACTTAGCACGCATGCACACAAGAGCCTACGGTATAGTGTGGGGAACTCTACTCAATGCGATGTGGTGACCTAGATGGGAGGGACATTCAGAAGGAAGAGGAAATGTGTATACAAATAGGTGATTCACTTCACTCTACAGCAGAAACTAGTTACAATGTTGTGAAGCAAGTATACCCCAATAAATAAAAAAACAAACTCCTCGAAGGTTGCAGTTTTTGTTTTGTTCACTGGTGTCTCTCCAGTGCCTAGTAAGTTGTAAATCAATAGATGAATTTACAGTTGCGTGTCTGTCTTTGGGGTATGTCTCTATATGTCTGTTTTGTTGTGCATGTCTATGGGAATGAATGTAGATGCATGTATGTGTGACAAGGGGCCCAATGTGGGTGAGAGAGGGCAAAATGGAACATATTTCCATACACCGCCCTGGCTTGAACTATGTTAGTTGCTCAGTCATGTCTGACTCTTTGCAACCCCATGGACTGTAGTCTGCTGGGCGGCTCTCTCCATGGAATTCTCCAGGCAAGAATACTCAAGTGGGTAGCCATTCCCTTCTCCAAAGGATCTTCCTGACCCAGGGATCAAACCTGGGTCTCCCACATTGCAGACAGATTCTTTACTGTCTGGGCCACCAGGGACACCCCAGCCTTAGCTATGGCACCGGAAACAACCCCAGCTCCATCCTGGGAGGCCTGCAGCAGTATCCCACGGGAAGACTGCATGGGACATCAGCCATGCATGCTCATCTCTCCTGCTTGCAGAGGCCGTGGGAGAGGCGGGACATGCTGCACAGGCTGGCTTCTCTTCTCCTTCCCAATAAACATAATCGGTGTCACCATGACAGCAGCACAACTGCAGAGTGAGGCCTAACAGGAAAGAGGCTTTGGGAGGGAGAAGGGATGGGTAGAGGGCTTTCTGCTGGTTTAAAAACATGCAGCTTCACGTTTGGGCTCTTGTGGATCTAGACCCAGCTCCAGGAAGCAGAGGAGCCCACGTGGACTAACAGCCCTATTCTAGGCCAGAGGAGTCCTTCCTCCTGCCTCTGGGAAAATCCACACTTAACTTCAGCACGGACTCTGAACAGAGGCGTCCTTGAAAAGTTGTGGTGATTTTCATTTCTTGTCACCTTCTCCCCAGCGTGGGCAAGTGTCCCCTCCAAGTGTCCTGCTGGTCTGGCTCATCTACTAAAAGGAGGCCAGGGACTTGGCTTCTGGCTCTCAACAGAAGCACGAAGAACACATGATACCTATCATATCCTGGGAAGTCCCCCTGTGGCCAGTATGTCCTTGCAGGGACAAGTCAACGACCTTCCCTGGTTTCTAAATATGGGGAAGAGGTCAGCACTTGAGCCTGGAAGATCTGCCTGTAAATCTGAGAAAGAACTCTCCTCTAGATCGAGAATGAAAAGAGGAAGCTGGAAGAGAAAGGGCGGTAAGCAAGCCCCTCATTCCTCTTTTCTCTGAGCAAAGTACGTGCATTCAAGTTGCAGGACAGTTCTCCTCCCTGGGATCCGGCTCCACCTCTCCCCTCAGCTCCATGCCTGCATTCACCCAAGTCCTCCATCATTTGAGGATGTGCTGTTATTGTTTTGGGTGAGTGCTGGGTGTTGAGAGCCGCATATGGAAATCCAATTGTGTCAAGCTCATTATAGCCTTATATAATTTGATTGCACCACTTAGAGCCAGACCTCTCTTGAATCTGGGCTCTGTCTTCATTACTTTCTTGAGATGAAAGATTCTCCTGCTCTCTTCTGTGGCACTTCTTTTAATCTTATCTTACCCTGGGCTCTATTAAAGCAACAGATTGTCATATCAAATGCACTATATCGTTTAATCATTTCCCACACAGGATAAAGAGGCCTGCAATGTATTTACAGAACACTACCCAGCACATGTAATTTGGTGAGGACTTTGGCTTGACTTTAAGCTCCTGAGGGCCAGAGTCTATGATTTATGGGTATTTTTATCTTAAGCACCTAGCACAGAGCTTTGCACTGAGTATTTGCTCAAGTGAGGCTTGTGATAGCCCAGCAAGGAAGATGACCCTACACACGTGGCCAGAAATCCACGTTAAAAAAGCCATTGTGATGGACTCAGCCCTTGTGTGGGCTGGTCAACCTCCCTCTCTTCTATGGCCAGAAGTACAGTGTGAGAGTTCAAAGAATGTGGAGATCATCGAGGCTGTTCTAAAAACAAAGAAATGAAAAAAAAATAAAAAGATAAAGACAAGGAAATGGAGGATGTGAGGGGAAGGGATTTTTTCAGGGCCAGACTTCAGCTCAGATCTTCCAACCTTCAGGTCAATGCTGCTTCCATAACATCCCTCTCCTTCCCTAAATTTCAGCTCTGTTCAGGCAAGTTTTAACCTGATGAGCAAAGCCCAAAACTTGCATTTTCAACAGCTGTAGAGATTCCAGGTTTGGAGGAGAGGTCAGGATGGAGGATCTTGCCACCCTGGGGACAGTTCCTGGTACAAGCTAATAAGCTCAAGAATTCTGTGGGCCCCTAGAAGAACTTTCACGATGAAGTACTTCCTAGCTGCCTGGCTGCCAGGTATCCTTGGAGCATGAGTATCGACATCTCTGCCCTGGGAGAGGCAGAAGAAGAAAGAGAATTGGAAAAGCCAAAAGAAACCATGGGCAATTGTACTCTTAAGCATTTATCTCAGAGAAAAGAAATTATGTTCACACACAAACCTGCAAGTGGCTGTTAACAGCAGCTTTACTTATAATAACCCAATGTCCCTCAACATGCAAATTGTTAATCATGACTGGGATGCACCCATACCAGGGAATACTACTCAGCAAAGAAAAAGAACAGACTACTGATTCACCTGACTTGGATGAATCTCGAGGAAATTACAACAGAATGGGAAAAGCCAATCTCCAAAGGTTACCTACTATATAAGCCCATTAATATACCATTTAAAGGATGAAAACATTTTCTTAAGGGAGGACAGATAAATGGCTGCCAGGGTTTACAGACAGGGTGGAGGTGTGTTGTGGGGAGTGGCTATAAGAGATACAGGGATCCTTGTGGTATTGAAACTGTGTGGTATCTTGACTGAGGTGGGGGATGTGTGATCTTGCATAGGTGATAAAACTGTATAAAACACCACACACAGGCACACATGGGTGCAAGCAAAACTGGGCAAGTCTGAATAGGCTTGGTGGGTTGTAGCTATGTCAATGTCCATGCATTGGATATGATAATTTTATAGCTACATGTGTATCTATACTTATTCCAATAAAAATCCCCACTCAGATGCTCCCCTCTCTCTGTCCACTGCCTCCTTACTTGATCTCCAGCTCACCTGGCTTAAAGGACCCAGTCTCTGTAGCAAAGAGTCATGGAGTCCTTTCAGCAATAATCCCAAGCAAATCAGTCATGATGGGAAAGGATGACAACTTTTTGGTCCTTTCATTTCCACCCGAGGCACATGGGCTAGTGCTTACCCTCATGACTCCTGAGTATGTGGTCTGAGCTGAGAGCTGTCATCAGCTCCCCAGACCCCCTTCCTGGCCCATCTCTCCACTCCCCACTGAGTCCCCTGATCTGTCTGCATTGCCTCACTGCTGTGATAGACCTGGGGCTGGAAGTAAGCAGTATTCTTGTGGTGTCTTTTTTCCCTTCTCACAAGAAGCCCAAGGTGAAAGAGACAGAGCTGAGTGGACCATGAGAAGGGACAGTATCCAGGCAAGATGAAAACACTATGAATATTTACTTTGATTTCCAGGGAAAGCAAAGAGGGAGAGGGAGGAGGGAAGCAGAGGGAGGGACTCTCTCCTGAGGGGCTAGAAGGAGGAAGATGCCCAGGCTGATTCCTCGTGTATCCTGATCACATGGGATGAACTCTGTAAAGTTGTGTGGAGAAATGGCCCCACAGCATTCTTTGCAGAGGGCAAAATGACAGCGGACGCGATGCTCTAAGAAGCAGGTAAGGGTGTGAGCACAGAAGGGAAGGGGGTGCAGGGGCGGCTGAAGCCCTGCTCGAGTGGGGCTGCTGTGGGCTGGTATCAGAGCTGAGGATTCCAGGAACCTTTACTGGTCTTCAAACACCCTGTGTCAGCCCTGGCGGGTGCGGTGGATAGTGGGGGGCTGGTGTTGCCATTGCTATAGGACCCCTGGCCCTTCAGGGCTTTAGGCTCCTTGGTTTGGAAAGGAGATCCCAGTTTCTTCCTACCCTGTTTTTAAGGACAGCATAATGAATGTAGATATTGTTCACACTTGCCAGCTGACTTGAATGGGGAAAGAGATAAAACTTCTATTTTGGGGCTGGCTCTCAGGGGATGGGGGTGGGGAAGCCCTGACCTTGGGTGAAGAGGTAGAAACTGGTGCTGGAGGGGATGGAGAGGACTGTAGATCAACCCAAGGCAGGCTGACAACATTACAGACCCCAGTCAGGATAAGTCAAAGTATATCACTGCACAGGCAGAGGGAGACAGTAGGGCAAGGAGATGGCCACAGGGGCACACAAAAGGGGAGATGTTGGAAGTGGGGACCAACTGGATTTATTATATAACTGTGATATATATTAAGTATGGTGGTGGTTTAGTCGCCAAGTTGTGTCTGACTCTTGCTATCTCATGGACTATAGCCTGCCAGACCCCTCTGTCCATGGGATTTCCCAGGCAAGAATGCTGGAGTGGGTTGCCTGATTGTCATCTCCTCCTCCAGTGGATCTTCCCGACCCAGAAGTGAAACCTGGGTCTCCTGCATTACAGTAGATTCTTGACCAGTGAGACACCAGGGAAACCCCCATTAAGTATTGTTACATGCAAATCATTATACATTTCAGAGCTAACTTTCATGAACTTTGAGACTTCGTTTCAGTCAGCATACACAGATGTGTTCTGAAATTCTGGATCCCTCTGATATGTCAAGGAAGCCCCGCCACTGGGGGGTTATTTCTGCAAAAGCAAGGCCAGAAGAGAGGCTCACGTGGTGAGGAAGTAACCTAGCTGCAGATCATGGGGCCTGGCACATACTAGGTGCTCAGTAAACATGTGTGGAATGAATGAATGAAGAAAGAATACAATAAGGACATAATGTTTCAGGCCTCCCTAAGTGACTCTTTCAGGTCCTCCCACTCCATTGTACCCAGAAAGGCTTTGATGGTACCCCACTGGAGGTTGAGATGCTGCTGAAGGGGGAGTATTTCAGCATAGATCAGAAGAGAAAGGAAAAACTGCTCCCTGGGTCCAAGTCCTTCACCAGCCAGATGTCCCAAAAATGCAGGTGAACTACAGCTGGCTGAGAGCACGAGGTGGAGGCCCGTCAGGAAAGGAGGCTTCTCTCTGGGCACCAACACTTTCAGACATCTTTCCTCATCCTGTTCGCCCTGCCTGGCCTCCGTAAGGCATGCTCACTGGACATCACTGGAAACCTTTTCAGGACGCATGCTTAGTTTCCCGACTGTCAAGGGCAGTTCTATGCCCTATCCTACGATACCCTGAGGTGACTAAAGCCCGCTGTGCAATTTGTCCCTGAACTCAATGGCCTCAGAATGTTCTCCTTTCAGAGTATTCATTTTTCTTTTTAGCAAATTTATTTTTGTCCCTCTGTTTGGTATAGGCTATTACAGGGTACTGAAAAGTGATTATGCTCCCCAGCAAGCTCTTGGCTGCGGAAGGGAGGAGTCCAGGCGCTGCCCAATGTAAGTAGCTGCGGTCTAGGAAGGGTGGCCAGGGCCCAAGGAAACTGCACAGAATATCCACAAGGAGAACACTGGCTTGTGGGTAATTGAGAGTTTGTAGCTTTGCGCAGCTCACCGCGGTTGGCATGCAGGACACTGGTATGTGCGGCGGCATCTAGGGTTGCTTACCTTCCAAAGCCAGAGGCCGTCTGTGCAGGGATTCTCCCATGAGCTCTGTGTGACGAGGCACAAGGCCAAGGGCACCCTCTCGGTGTGGCCCACCCGCTTCCGGGTCTGAGGCTTACCTTCTGTGCTCTGCGTTTATCCGCTCTCTGATTCTGGTGGTAAATCCGGCTGAAGTTGGAAACGATCACAGGGACCGGCAGGGCAATGACGAGGACACCGCTCAGCGAGCAGATGGAACCGAAGATCTTTCCTGCAATCGTCTTGGGTACCATGTCTCCATATCTGAAAAACGAAGACAAGCAGGTGTAAGGAAGAGGGGCCATTTGGGAAACAATCAGGATCCCCTGCTAATCATTCACCCATTCATTCATTCATTCATTCATCTGACAGTTATTTAGGTGCCTGCTATCTTGAGAGTCCCTTGGACTGCAAGGAGATCCAACCAGTCCATCCTAAAGGAAATCAGTCCTGGGTGCTCATTGGAAGGACTGATGCTGAAGATGAATCTCCAATACTTTGGCCTCCTCATGGGAAGAGTTGACTCATTGGAAAACAGCCTGATGCTGGGAGAGATTGGGGGCAGGAGGAGAAGGGGATGACAGAGGATGAGATGGCTGGACAGCATCACCAACTCGATGGACATGTGTTTGAGTAAACTCCGGGAGTTTGTGATGGACAGGGAGGACTGGTGTGCTGCGATTCATGGCATCACAAAGAGTCGGGCTGGAGAAGGCAATGGCACCCCGCTCCAGTACTCTTGCCTGGAAAATCCCATGGATGGAGGAGCCTGGTGGGCTGCAGTCATGAGGTCTCGAAGAGTCGGACACGATGGAGCAACTGAACTGAACTGAACTGAACTATGTGTCAGGTACTATGATACGCTCTGCGAGTGAACAAAACAGACAAGGTCCTTATGTTCACAGAGACAGCCTCCTTCCAGGGGAAGACCATAACACTTAAGTGAATATATAAAAACACTGTAACTTCTGGCTCTTTCCAGGGAAAGAATAGAGATGGTGCAGTGCACTGTTGGGGAAGTGTGGTCAGAAAGGCCTCCCTGAGGAGGTAACATTTAAGTTAAGACCTGAAGGTAAAGAATCCAGCCACGCTACACACTTGGGGCAGAGCTACCAGGCAGAGGGAACAGACAGGACGGAGGCCCTGAGGTAGGAAGGGGCTTGGCCTGTTCTAGGAACAATGAAAGGGCCAGCAGGACCGGCACATAGGGCAGGTGGGGAGTTCTACAAAAGGAGACTGAGGCGGCAGGTGGGGGCCAGGCAGTGCCGACCATGCGGGGTCCAGGGGCCCCCGACGAGGAGCACGGGTTCCATTCCAAGTGCAAAGGGGAGCCATGGACAAGTTTCAAGCAGAACAACATGATTTCTCTTATGGTAATAAAAATAACGAAGAGTAAACCGCCTTCTGTTTATGTGAAAACTTATAATTTACAAAGCACGTTTACACATGTGACTCACATAAGCTCCACGAACCCCGTGAACTTGGAACCCCGATGACCACTGGACAGATGCAGGAATCAAGGCTCAGGGGCATGAAGTGGGTTGCTCATGTTTGGGTACAGCTGGGAGCAAAACCCACACCTCCTGCTTTCTCGTCTTTTCACCTCATCCCACTGTCTTAAAGGGGTCTATGAGCTCCGGAACTCAGCCCCTTAAGCTGTGAAGACACTCTGGGACAGTGCCAGCCCCTCTCAGAGCTCAGAGAAACTCTCCTAAGTACTTCACACTCTGGCAGCCACCTCCTGGGACCGGCTTGGCCTGGCTCCTGCTCAACCCCAGGCAAACAGGCCAGAGCCTTCTCCTCCAATCAATAAGATATGCTCAGCTGCAGTTAAGTGTTCAGCCTCTTCTTTATTGAGATCATGAAAAGGCCACGTTAAGTAAAGAACTGTGATGACTCCTTTGGCCAAAGCCAGAACCACCACCTCTCCCACCTCTGTGCCCTCTGGGTGTCCGGAGCAGAAACAGCCTTAGGGTGACCTGGAATTGTTGCTACTGAAATTGTGAGGCTCCAAGTCACTTGTCCTGAGGGACCCAGGTGTCCTGGGGTCCAGAAAGACTGTGGAAGGCGATGGGGGAGCCATTGCAGAACTGTGAAGTTCTCACCCCTAACCCTAAGGGCTTGGTCAAAGATGTGCCATGGTTGACACATAACTTGGATGAATGACCTCATTTAAGATTCTTAACACCCTTCTTCCTTCTTTTTCAGTGTCGAGGCCCTTTGTTCTGGCTCAAGCTGTCTCAGTCACACCACTGAGCGCTCCTTTGGGAGCATTGATACTAGGTTTGCCTTCTCTGCCATGATGCTCAGGAGTGGCTTCCAGTGAAGTGGTCCAGACCTGGCTCTGATAAGACTCCCCTAGCTCCACCTGAAATTACAGTATGACTGTGGGGGAATGTGACCATGGGCCTCAGTTTCCTTGTCTCAAAAATGAAGATAATAAGTAACCAAGGTCATAATTCTGTTGTGACGTATTTGTTGTTGTTTAGTTGCTGAGTCATGTCTGACTCTTTTGTGACCCCATGGACTGTAGCCTGGCAGGCTCCTCTGTCCATAGCATTTCCCAGGCAAGAATATTGGAGTAGGTTGCCAGTTCCTTTTCCAGGGGATCTTGCTGACCCAGGGATTAAACCTATGTCTCCTGCATGGCAGGCAGATTCCTAACCATTGAGCCACCTGAGAAGCCCCATTGTGACGTATACCGCTCTACAAACAATAAATAGATTTACTTTTACCTAAGCATTCTGAAAACTATGGTCTCTGTTGCTGATGAGCTGATTGTTCCAAGTTCTAATCGTCCAAGTGATGGAGAAATTTTTAGATAATATGATTGAAAAGGTGGACATTGGGTACATGACCATGGGTGAAAATGAGGCATGGTGGGAGTTTGTAAGAACAGTGTCAGGAAGGCTACATTTCAGTGATTGAGGTTGTGAAAAATGCTAAGGACAACAGGGAGGTTGTTTTCGCCACTGAAAGGAAAGTTACTCATCTGCTGGGCAGATGGTCTGCTGGAACAGACGATAGAGAGAAAGCTGACCAATGCAACTCCCATGCACTTTCTGCCTTCTCCACGAAGGAGAACCTGCTTTATCTTGGGAAGGCAGGGACACATGTGGGAAAAAAGTATCCAGAGCTTGAAGAAGGGGAGTGGAGAGCAGGCAAGTGGCCAGCTGTCTTCAGTGGATTCCCATCGCAGGCCCACCTGGATCCTACTGCAGGAGACAGGAGGAATGTGCAGATGGTGTTGTAGAACCACTGCTCATGATGGCTGAGAAGTCATGATGTTGCAGAGAAATCCCAGGAGGCTAAAGAATCGGTATCTTTAAAGAAGGGGAAAGAAGGTCTAAGGAGCCACAGACCAGCAGGCTTTGCATCCATCGATTCTGTCAACCAATTCCTAGCAGAATTTGAAAGTGTATTATTAAGTGGACAGCTTGCGGGCACTTGGAAAATAAGCCGCATTGGTTCACTGAGCACACGTCTTGCCAGATGACCCTTATTTCCTGTTTTGAGAGGGTTAACCGGCTACAGACGGACTGCATCATGACTGCACCAAGGCGTGTTCCTGCCCAGTTCTCTACACGCTGGGCGAGCTGGAGGAACAGGTAGGGGACAGCAGCGTGGCTGGCAGGCACTGAGCAACCATCTCGAATCCTCCGGCCCTTCTCAAAGATGACCACCACCACCACCAACAAAAAAAGACGACCAACAGTGGTCCCAGGACAGTGAAGGAAGTTCCTGGTTTTCATGTTAGAAGGGTGTCCTTCAGTGAGAGAGTAATAAGCAAATGAAATGAAGACGGGATCTAAATTCAGGTCTCCACTGGTGCATTCCAGAATTTTTTAACCAACTCATTTCGGGCCAGAAGGAGGCAGTGTGGCCTAATGATTGAGAAAGGAGACTGGCTTCAGATCTGGGGTTGAACCAGAGCCAAATGTTACTTAGTAAATAGTTAAATGTCCTTGGGGAAGTTATGTAACCTGAGCCTCTACCAATACAAATGGGTTTTATAAACCTAACTTACAAGGTTGTTGTGATAATTAATGAGATAATTCAGAAGAAGCCCTCGATGCTTTATCTGGGTAAATGTAAATTCTCTATGAATAGCCAGTGCGGAGGGCATCCAATATTTCATCTGCTAATATCTTACTCACTCATAGGAACTGATCCCCTCCCCTCCCCATTATGACATAAACTCTGTACAGAACAGCAGGGTCTCAGAGGAGCTGCTATATTCTTACAAGCCTTCCCCAATATCCCTGCTCCCACTGGGGAGCATTTTAGAGCATTTTCAACACCCCTAATAGAAACTTAGTACTCATCCTGTAGTGATCATTCCACATTCCACCCTTCAGCCCTAGGCAACCACTAATCTACTCTTTGCCTCCATGGATTTCCTTATTTTGGACATGTGGTTACTATGTTTAGCAGTTGGAGGAATTGTACCATTTTACATCCCCACTACCAATAAATCAGTGTTCCAATTTCTCCATATCTTCACCAATACCTGTTACCCTTTATCTTTTGATTCTAGCTGCCCTAGTGTGTGTGATGTGGTATCTCATGGTTTTTTCCTTTTTTACCCATTTTTTAAAATGGTAAAGTTAATTTACAATGAGGTATAGTTAAGGTATAGTTAATTTACAATGTTGTATTAGTTTCATTCCAATTTTAGTATATGTGCTGCCAAAGCGAGCACTGTATTAGTTTCAGATGTATAGCAAAGTGATTCAATTATATGTGTGTCTGTGTGTATATATATATATATATATATATATATATATATATATAAAATGTACATTTTTTTTTCAGATTCTTTTCTCATAGGATATTACAAGATATTGAATGTAGTTCTCTGTGTTATGCAGTAGGTCCTTGTTTTTTTAATCTATTTTATGCATAGTAGTATGTATATGTTAATCCCAAACTCCTAATTTGTCTTTTCCTCTTCACCCTCCACTATCTCCTCTATTAACCGTTAAGTTTGCTTTCCATGTCTGTGAGTCTATTTCTGTTTTATTAATAAATTCTTTTGTATAATTTTTTTTAGATTCCACATATAAGTGGTATTATATGATATTTGTCTTTCTCTGTTTGACTTACTTCACTTACTATGTTAATCTCTAGGTCCATCTGTGTTGCTGCCAATAACATTATTTCATTCATTTTTATGACTGAGTAATATTCCATTATATACACACACACACACACACACACACACACACCACATCTTCTTTACCTATTCATCTATCAATGGACAT